CTAAAGAATGTAAACACTATATGTTCTGGGACTTTTCACGCAGTAATACTTTATTGTAAAGGTGATTCGCATCCGCACAGCGAACCTCTCAGAGTTACGAGATAAGGCAAGACGTTGGGACCCATGGCAATTGCGTGCTGGTAACACTGATGGCGATGTTGGGGGGCGATCGCTCGGCACGTCTCCGCCCCCCGTCTCTCCCCCCCCTAATATTTGTTCTGCAAACTTTGGCCCGTGACTCGGAGGGTCAGCAACCCCTCTCTTCGTCTCCCTTTTGGGGAAGATCTCTTTCCAGCCACATGTAAAAAAAAAAAAAAATCATGTCTCCATGCGGGGTTCGGTCCATTTATCGGCTCGTCCGGCCTTCCCCGTGTGCGTAGCTTTCGCTGCCCCCGTCTGCCTTCAACGTCCCCCGGCCGCGACAAGGAGGCGCCCCGGGCGGGACGGTGGCGAGTTTAATTTTTAAATGGGCCGCAAGCGTGGAAGCTCACGCAGACAGATGTGTGCGGACGGGCCTTTGGGCCAGAATTTTTTTTTTTTACATGAAACCCGACCGTTGCCGACGCCGCAGCGCAGTACCTGTAGCCGCCATGGGGTCCAGGCGACCTCGGCTTTGACACTGTGTAGCCACTTCCCTTCCTGGCCATTCGTGCGCCAATCGGCGCGGGAGAGAGAGAGAGAGCGGATGCTGCCTGCTCTTTCTTTCTTTTCTCCTTTTTTGTAACATTGTGAACACAAGACCAGACAAACCAGAACGCGTGAGGCATGACCGGCCGACACGTTCACGGACGGTTCTCACGCGCGGTGGGCAGGTCTCAGACACGGACATCTGAGCGTTGTCAGGGTTCGGGGAGCGGCCAGTGGGCATGGCTGGGTCCTTAGCATAGATTCCTCGATGGATGGATGGATGGATGGATGGATCGCAGGACAGAAGGTGCTGGGTTCTTGCCGGGGACGGGAGGGACTGTCCCAGGTGCAGCTGATAGGCTTTGGGGAGTTGTTGTCTCAGGTGCGCGGGGCCGGGCAGGGGTGCTGTAGGCTCCGATCGCTGCCGGGTGCGCCCCGTGTCCGACGCCCGGCAGTCCCTCCACCGCTTCACCGCGGAGATCAGTGTGAATATACGAGAATCGTTCGGTCCGAGGTCGCTCTGCCACGGGGCCGGCGTCCGTGGGGGAGTCCTGCCCGCGGCCCGACCGCGTCTCCCAGGCCGCGGAGCTATGGGTTCACAGTTTCCAACACGAGGACCCTGATGCTGCCTTCAGCTGCCGTCCGGCACGGGACGAGGGTGCCTTCTCCTAGACGCGGTCCCTTCCCCCCAAGGCTCTCCTGGGTGCGGCGTGGAGCAGCCCAGAGCACCTCTCCCTCCTGGTTGTCGTCCGCTCTCCCCTCCCCACACCCGTCTCGCTCCGTCCGGAAAGCGGGGGCCCCGGGCCGCGCTCAGGCCCGCTTGGCGTGCAGCATCTCGATGAGCAGGTTGTTGTAGGGCACGTCGCCGTTCAGGTGCTTGTAGTACAGGTACTCCTCGGCCTGCAGGCTGAGCGCCCGGATCTCCGGCAGCCGCAGCAGCAGCTGGCCGAACTTCTCCGCCTGCTGCGGGTAGTTGCACACCGTGTAGTCCAGCAGCGCCGCGTGCACCTGCTCCTGCACCCCCTCCACCAGCTGCAGGTTCTCCAGGCTTTTCACATCTGGATGCAGCGGGAGAGGGAGAGGGAGAGAGAGAGAAGCACACGGTCAGTGGCGATTCCGTTCTGGTTTTGTGTGTTAATCCTCACCCGAGGGTATTTCTCTTTTCGTTTTTGTAGAGAGTGAGAGGGAGGGAGGGGGAGAGAGAGAGACAGAGAGAGAAGGAGGGATATCGATGTGAGAGCGCACCCCGACTGGGTAGAGAGAGAGAGAGAGAGAGGAATATCGATGTGAGAGAAAGACATGGATTGGCTGCCTCCTGTGCGCTCCCCGACTGGGGTGGGGGATCCAACCTGCAACCTAGATACGTACCCTTGACTGGGAATCGAACCCGTGACCCTTTGATGCTTGGGCCAACGCTCTAACCACTGAGCACACTGGCCAGGGCTCAATGGTGTTTCATTTCTGTTTTGTGTGTGTGTGTGTGTTAATCCTCACTCAAGGATTTTTTTTTTCTCCCCATTTTTATAGAGAGTGGAAGGAAGGGAGGGAGGTAGCCTGGAAGTGAGGAGGGACAGAGGGTGGGGGAGGGAGAGAGAGAGAGAGAGAGACATGGATTGGTTGTCTCCCCCACCCGCCCTGGGCGGGAGGATCCAACCTGCAACCCAGGTATGGGCCTTTGACTGGGACTCGAACCCGTGACCCTTCGGTGCGCGGGCCCACG